ATTCCAGCGGGCACAATTCTCTCACTCGTTTGCTCTGGCCTGTCAGGAAGTGATGCATGTGTTGGGTTGCTCTGCACCATGAATGTTATAAAGATGCACAGTCTGGTTTTCCGAAAGCCCGGGCGGCAGCTGCAATTGATTGCATCGATTTCTATTAAAATACCATAGTTTAGTGAGATTTAGGATTAGTCTGGTAATTATTTATCCCCATTCTCCGGTTTTCTGTGGAAGCAATATTGTTAGGCTATCCCCTTCAAAGGTATTTAATTATTTCAAGGGTATTTTAATACCCGGAAGTTGGACTGTTATGGCTGCGCTCATAACCAGGGTGTTCCATGCATCTTTACATAGGTATGTTGTGTCTAGATGCTTCATTTAGTCACTTGTGTCTGCTTCCCCCTCCTTTGCCCACTCCAGGTCCACTTTGTCCCTGAAGATGGAGCAGTGGCTCAGATCGTGTACAGCGACAATCAGGACCGTCCTTCACAGCAGGTGGTCTACACAGCCGACGGCACGTCGTACACCTCGGTGGACACCTCGGAACATACGCTAGTTTACATCCATCCCGTGGAAGCCACACAGGCACGTGACATCCCCCAGCCCTGTTTCTGTCTTCTCATGGCTGCGAAGAGCGATAATTTCATTCGGGACTAGGGCCAGCTGCCTGCAAAGCTGTGCAAATGCCGAATAGCTCTCAGCTGTGCATAATCATCTCACCATTGGCAAAGGGGAAATTTGGGCTTTTCCTTCAAAATGAGAGTGCAGATGTTGTAATCAAAATCTGCTGGTAGGCTATTGAATATGAAGCCCTGTTCCTCTCTGTTCTCTCCAAAACTGGAGAAATTACAGCTCTATTGTTTTCTTCTTCAAAAGGCGATACCCTCAGCTAGTGTACCATTTCAGCTGTTGCTGTGTTCTAGAAAAGACGGGCATTCTTAATTAATCCATCCCTTGAGACTTACTTGCGGATCTGTTTTTGAATCTCTTATGCAGGAATCTGCTCTTTGAACTTCTGTGTTTCTAAAGGTTGTGCCAGCCTGTAGTAATCAGCTGGATTCATCTAAAGCAGTGGTTTTCATAGTTTCCCTCTTCAGAGGAAGATTCTGATATGGATTTGTTTTCAAGGCTCCCGTTGCAACTTCCAGTGTGGGTGTTGTGTGTTACAAAAGATTTTTTGAATGTGTAAAAAGTGCCCAAAGTGCAGAAGAACCGAGGAAAATAGCTGCCTCCATTTGAGCCAGACATTGGCCGAGCTAATTGAGTCTGCTTTGTGCTGACTGGCGCTGATCCTCCAGGCTTTTACACAGGAGACATCCTTAGCATTAGCGGGAGATGCCCAGGGCTTGAACCATAAACCTTTTTTGCAGAGCTCTGCCATTGACTTGTAACTCTTTGCCTGTTTTACGCAGGCTATTAACCCAGAGTTGCTGGGCTTCTCAGTTGTTTTATATGAGCTGAGAGCCTAGTATAGAAGATATCCAACAATCTCATGTGTTTTCACATTGCTGGGAATGATTACCAGTGGTGGGCTAGCCTCATTACATCTGGATGAGAGTCCCTAAACGGCTTCTGAAGAACCTTGAGAACTATAGCCAGAATTCTATGGTGATTTACTTAAGGGAAATTCTGGCAGCAAATTGCTGCTTGTTAATGAAGTGCAGCTCCTCTTCTTCGGCATGCAACTGATCATTTCGTTAGGTCAGTGGTTCTCAAACTGGGGTCCCCAGATGTTCTTGGACTACAACTCCCAGAAATCATGGCCAGCACAGCTAGTGGCAAATGGTTCTGGGAGTCTTAGTCCTTTTTAACTTGTTTTTATTAATTTTATTGGGATTATGGTATAAATAGGGGGACCAGGTAAAAGAAGGAGGGTGAGGGTAGGAAAGGGTAAAATTCCAGAGAGCAAAAAGTATTCTTACATCCGCTTATACAATTACAGTGCTGCCTCGCTTGACGACGTTAATTTGTTCCAGTGAAATCGCTGTAGAGTGAAAACGTCGTCAAACGAAATTTTAAAAACCCATTGAAATGCATTGAAAACCGTTCAATGCGTTCCAGTGGGCTGAATACCTGATCGTCCAGGTATTCAGCCCATTGAAGTGAAGATCCTCCATACGGCGGACATTTTTGGCGCCTGTAAAGTGAGGAATCCGTCCTAGAAAACAGCGGGGGGCCATTTTCTTCAGCCGGCGGCCATTTTGAAACCCGACAATCAGCTGTTTGCTGATCATTGTAAAGCGAAAATCGGTTCCCGAAGCAGGGAACCGATCATCGCACAGCGAAAAAAACCCATTTAAAACATCGTTTTGCGATCGCAAAAGCGATCACAAGAATGTCAATGTAAAGCGGATTCATCATAGAGCGAGGTAATTGTCCAGCAGGGCACAACTGTATATTAAAAAGAGAAATTATACAAAGGAAAAAAACATTATACCGATTTTCCAAGATATCTATAATGACTAATCTTACAGTTCTTAGTCCAATAACATCTGGGGACCCAGGGTTGGAAACCACTGAATTAGGTGTGTGCACAGGAATGTAAACAACACCTAAATAGTACTTAGACTCTTTTAATCGTATTGTATTATTTTATTCAGACTCTGTTTACAGATCCATCCCAAGTGGCTTACGTGCAGCAGGATGCAGCTACACAGCAGGTAAGGATCTGTCGATCCTTATGTAAATCCATTGATGCACTGGATTCACATCAGGGAAGGTGAAAGTGTTGCCTACAGGTCCCTCGAGACTATTTTTGAGGCGTTGGTGCCTGTACGTTAAACATAAAACAAAACAAAAACAGAACAAAATGAGATGAAATCTGATTAAATTAAAGCAACAAGAAATATTGCTCCAACAGCAGAACATTTAGCAGGGCCCCTTGATCTCAAAAGTCCAGAACCTGCAGATGGCAAATGTGAAATTGGATGTCCGGCCACTCTGGGTTTTGGTTATTTGGGGCCATTTCCGAGTCTGGCGCAATCCCCAGGGAGTGAAAGATACTATGAAAAGGTTGCCCGCAGGGTACACGCTCATTCTTTGTGTCTCTTGTGACCATTTATTTATTTAGAAGTATCTTACCCATTTTTAAGGGTAATGACCTCATGAAGCAACATTCAGAATGAGCACCAGTAGCCTATCTGTATCTGAATTAGCAGCTTGAGTCCTGCTGCTTAGACTTTGAGCCTACAGTAAAAATGAACGGGACAAGATATATATGGGCGTATTGGTACATTGTTCTAAAAGTACATAATATTTGTAAATGCTGTTCTCAGTGTGCAACTGTTTGTAGTTCCTAGCAAAGTTAGCATTGAAAAGGAGACTCTTTAGGACCTGTCTAAACCCAAGCATTGATAGATTTAGTTATTAAGGACAATGTAGATATAAATTCATTGGAAGAGAGTTCCAGAACTGAACTACTACTGAGAATGCGCTGTCTGTCACACTCAGTTTAACAAGGGTCCTGTTTTGTCCCCTCTGTGCAAAATCTGTTTGACAATAGATGACAGAGGGGAGAGTAAAAATATTTTCCCTTAAGCAATGACGTTTCTATCATACGATCTTCAACTTTCTGAAGAATTCAGTTTTGTCCAGATGTAGTCACAAAGTTCCACCATGGTGGGAAGCAGACAACCTGAAATTAAGATGATGTTCTTGTTTTGTCCTGTTAAGAGGCCAACTAGCATTTGAGTGATAAGTCCTTTCAACCTTATAGGGTCAGTTTTAAAAATGCTAGCTTAGGTATTAGCTGTTCTGAAAGACAGCAGTGTACCTTTCATTGAAATGACAAAACTACCAAAAATCCTATTTCATCATTTTATTTGTATGCTCACTCATTTCAGAACCTAACAGCATTTCTTTCTTTTTTTAACACAGACAGAACTTTTTTGACTTTTTTTATTGGAGATATAACTGTAAAGTCTAAAAATTCCAATTACTTGCAATGTTTCTGATGTATATAGTCCTAGTTTTCTGCTTGATGTGCTCACTAGTGTGAAATTGACTAGGAGTAGCATGAAATTGAGGACTGGGGGAAGTGAAGATCCGGGAATCAAAAGGGGAATAAAGCATCTCCCTGAGAAGCACAACCTTCTCATTTAATCTCCTGTGCCTCTGGAAATGTGATGATTGAGGTAAGAAGACTTTGGGATCTGTTTAGTTTAAGTCCCTATATAAAATAGCACTGTGCAGAAGTAGTAACCGTTAACAGATTGATTACTCTGTTAATGGTTTATAAGGTGAGGTGGTAAACCTCAATTTCAGTTTCTAAAAGCCTCCAATACTAAGGCACTACGTAATTCAAGACTCTAAAATATTGTTTTTCCCCACATGCAGTTCCCACAAATTAATAATTTGGTGCTAAAGAGCCTGGCTACATGTTACACTCACCAAGTGTAAAGCAGCAAGTTACACGTTCTCCAGGTGTTCTTCTGACATTCAAGGGAGTCTGGAGGGTTTGACCCGCAGTCATACTGAAGGAGAAAGAGAGGTAACTGCCTGATGGGCATTTCTCCTTATTTATAATCTCGCTCATCTAATCTCCCCTGCTGCTCAACCTTTGAGGGAGATTAGCTGAATGAGATAACTAGATTGTCCCTTTCCTTTTTTAGTATGACTTCAAGCAAGGCACCTTCAGTTTCCCTCAACTGTCAGATGTTGGGAAGGACCCACCAAGAAATCTCAAAAGTCAAAGGTTCTTGGCTGCTTTTCATGTGGTGAGTGTAACAAGTAGTTAGGCTGTTTGTGCGTAACTGGAAATATGCAGAATACTGGCCAAACATGTATTACATTTTAATAGAATCACCACAATCTTATTTTTATTTTTTAATCTTTTAATTGTTTTTCTGGTGTAACACATTTGGTGTAAATCTCAGCGGCAGATTACCACAAGGGAAGAAGCCAACATAGACATCCTGTAGAAATGGGATCACTTCCCCTTCTTGCATCTGCAACCTAAGCCTTTCCAGAAAATTTGTTTCTGAGGATCTCAAGCCCTCTGGAATAAATTTCCCGTATTATGGTCAAGAGAATGTGGCACTAAATTTGTAAGGGGAAAAGGGTGTAACAAAAAAGAGAAGCAGTGTAGTATACAGTAGGACCCCTGTATCCACACGGGATTGGTTCCAGTTCCCCCTGTGAATGTTGAAAACTGTGGATAATACTGAACCCTATACAGTGGTGCCTTGATTTATGAACTTAATCTGTTCTGGAATGATGGTTGCAACTCACAATAGTCATACATCGAAGCACCATTTCCCATAGGAATACATTGAGACCCCATTAATCCGTTCCGGCCGGGGGAAAAAATCACAAAAACCCCCAAAACAAAAAACAATGCAAGCCCCGTCGGAACGCGTTGGGGCTGGGAAAAAAATCACACATACAAAAAAAGACAATGCAACAAGCTCCATTGGAAGGTGCTGGGGCTGGAAAAAACTAACACACCAAAACACCCAAAAAAATCAAGGCACAGAAACATAACCTCCCCCCCCCAACCCAAACCCACCCTGCAAAACAAAAAATCAAGAAACATAACCTCCCCCCCAACCCAAACCCACCCTGCAAAACCTTGTATGTACTCACTCAGAAGCAGAAAGCAGCACCAGGCAGTCCGAAAGCCTCCTCCGACGCGCACTCTCTAATCATTGGGGTGAAAGAGCTACAAAGAAGCAGCCGCTTGGCTGACCAACAGTTAGTACCTTTGAATTCCCTGCCTTTTCCCCCACCTTTTTTCCAGTTGTAACTCGAAGCTCCAGTCGCAAGTCGAAGCAATATTTTGCAGCTGGAGCTGGTCATAACTAGAAATGGTCGTAAGTCGGGACGTTCTTAAGTCGAGGCCCCACTGTACATAGCATGGCCCCTGGCTCCCTCTAATGCCAGTTCTGGGAATAACATCATGAAAATACGTATTCCTGTTTGTTTGTTTTTTTCTTTTAATATTTTTAATATTTTCATACCATGGATAACTGAAACCCCAGATAACAATTCTGCACATACAGGTGTCCTATTTTTGTGGATAGATGGACTGAGATTAAGGGCTAGGACTAAGAGTGATGGCTAAGGCTCAGGAGACCTGGGTTCAAGTCCCTCCTTGGCTATGGAAGCTCACTGGAAAGTGGCACTGGTAAAATCCTTAAGCACTTTACATATTGTGGGAATCCTATTAGGATAAGCCAACTCAGATGCAACTTTACAGCACATATCAATAACAACAAAAATGTAGGGTCAAAATATACAGTTATATTTTTCTTCAATTCTACACTTACTGTTCTTTTATTACTAAGGGAATCATTAATAATCCTTGCACAAGGTGTTTTAGAGAAGAGCACAATCAAAAGAAAAGTGTCTGCCTTAATGCATTTGCAGTGTAACAATACATCAGAACCTCAGAAGAGAACAGCATCTAGAGTTGCTAAAAAAGAATTATATTAAGTAGATAAGTAGAAGGAATGAACACACAATTCTAATGGCTAAAAATGAGTCCTTTTGAGGAATGGCAGATGAGTTTGGTAGAGGTTCCCAGACTGTATAGTTTAAGGCATCTTTGTGACACTAACCAGTTTCATTCTGGTTAGCAATATAAATGAAGGCCTGCAGTTAGCGATGGGCACGAGGGGCACTGCCTCTGAGTGGGCGCCCCCTGGAGGAGGCGGGGCTGGGAAGTGGCGAATGCCCGTTTGGCCCGTAAACGAACCAGCACGAATCACTGAACCCGCAGTTCGTGCCCATCTATACCTGTAATATACAGTACTGTATAGTGGAGAGCAGTATCTAGGGCTGTCCAGCAGTGTGTTATGCCAGAACCGAAAACAGACGAACAAAAAATAATTCCTTCCATGTTGTTTTAGTCAATAACCTGCCTAAAGAGATAATATGACCCAAAGCCCACACTCTTTAGGATGAGTAATGTATATTTCAAACAGTGGCAAGCATGACTTACGCAGACTGATAATAATAAGAAAAATATCTGAGTGTCAGAATATGTAATCTCATCTCTCTTCCTGAAAGGCACAATTTAGGTACCCATACTGTTGACAAACCAGATGTTCCCAGGGAGAGAGCTTCTCCGTTTGTTTGTGAATGGTTATCAGTTTATTAAAGCAGCTGCTACCCCTGCAGGTGTTAGAAATCCCTGAGCCACCATACCTAATAAAATAATAATCACAATCCCTTTTGGAAAGACCTATGGAATCTTAATTCTTCCAACACTTTTGTGTGTTTGTCTCTCAATTCTTCCCAGCAGATGGAAAAGGGCTGAAAGTATTGCACCTAGGGTGTTTTCTAATATCGTGCAATGTGTCGATTCTAGTGTTACTGTGTGTGGAAAGTCACTAATGATGCCTTGTGGGTGTGTGCCTGGCAATAAGGCAGTTACTGCATTCATTTGCTTCACTTCTCCTTGGATTTTTCTTCATTTTGGCCATGTTCGTTGAAGGCGTTTAGAACAGTGGGGTTTATTTTTACCTCTTTCAGAAATCAATCTGAAAAAGATGGGGAAAGGAGGAATAGCAATACCTGTGTGCATAAAATATTAAATTCAGCAATAGTGTCTAGCCTGTAAGTCAGGCAAGCAAATTTGTACTGCTGATGACCACAGGCGTTCATGGAAATCCAAACAGTACATGAGAAACCATATCTGCAAACAAAAATGTATATTAAAATATCTCTGTGCCCATTTTTTATTACCTAAAATGCAAATAATGTATCAAAATAGTGACATATACACCTTATCGTTATCTATTACCCCTGTAGATAATAATAATGGTAATAAATGAGAATAACAACAATAATAATGAATGCAGAATCATAGAATAATTGAGTAGGAAGGAGCCTATCAGGCCATCAAGACTAACCCACTGTTTAATGCAGGAATCCAAATGTAAGGAGATTTGACAGATTTTCTCTTGAATCTTTCCAGCGTTAGAGTGCTCACCACCTCCTGAGGTCATTGGTTCCATTGTCATACTGCTCTAACAGTGAATAAGTTTTTCCTCATACAGTACTCAGCCTAAATCTGGATTCCTGTACCTTGAGCCCATTATCACGTGCCCTGCATTTTGGGATGACTGAGAACAGATCCTGCCCCTCCTCTGTATGAGAGCGTGTCAAGTATTTGAAAAGTGCTGTCAGATCTCCTTTTCTCAGGACTAAACATGCCCAATTCTTTCAGTCTTTCTTCATAGGGCTTGATTTTTCTGATCATCCTTGTTACCTTCATCTGAACTTGCACCAGTTTGTTGTCATCCTTCTTAAAATGCAGTGTTCCTATGTTTTAGCTGCCTTTTACTCCATTAGTTCATTTTTTAAAAAATGACCAAAATCTTGTTGCTTGGTATAGTAAATTGTAACTGTTAGATTATTGGGGATTAATACATGCAGAGACTTTTCAGTATGGTGTCATATAATTACCAGAAACATCTGAACTTGCACCAGTTTGTTGGCATCCTTCTTAAAATGCAGTGTTCCTATGTTTTAGCTGCCTGTTACTCCATTAGTTCATTTTTTAAAAAATGACCAAAATCTTGTTGCTTGGTATAGTAAATTGTAACTGTTAGATTATTGGGGATTAATACATGCAGAGACTTTTCAGTATGGTGTCATATAATTACCAGAAAGCAATGTCTAACTATGCAGAAAGTGGTCTAAATTCTGTTAACAAAAAGGACTTACGCAGAGACAATTGTGCACGGTTTTGCTTTTCAGTGGGCTGTTCTTTTCGAAAGTAAAGCAAGGCAAAACCAAACAGAAGAAACATAGTGTTTACTTTGGGGAATCATATGCATCTTTCATGGTTAGCTGGGATACCCCGACGTGAAGTTACATTTAGAATGGGAATCAGCAACTCAACGTTTCTTGCTTAGATCTCCCTCTGACTTATCTGTTGTATTCTGGTTTCCTCGTTATCAGCCCAGGGGGAAAAGAAGTGTGAAAAGGGTGGCATTTGGGGGAACATGGAGTGTGGCAACAGACCACTTTGGTGAGAGTGTGGTGCCAAGGAGGCCTTGGCCAGCCAGCCCTCTTCTCTCAAAGGGACCTCTCTGGCAAAACTGTTGGTCAACCAAGGCTGTAATTGAGATTGCCTTTGTTAGTTTACAGCGGTGGGCATGTGGCTGCAAGGTATTTTTATAATAGAAAGATACCTTCTGTCTGTTTTCAGAGAGGAGCAAGAGGAGCGTTTGAGCTTCAAAGTCTTGCAGTATCTTGTTTAAATAATTATGGACACTCAGACCAACTAGTTCCGACTATTTTAGGGAGCTGCATTTTAAAACATCTTAATAGGAGGCCTGGCTTGGCGGTTTGCTAGTCTAGCCAAACAGATTGCACTGGTGGAAATCCCATGGCAATCAAATGCCTGCCTGCGATGTGTAGATAACTGTGCCTTGGCGGACTGCTAATGCTGATACTTCCACTGCCTGGAGCCTAGATTTTAGCACCCTCCCTATGCTCAGAAAGTTAAGCTTGGATATGTGTGGCCATGCTGTGTGAAATCTGAAAAGCCTTAGTTCCAGCAGACAGTGGAGGTTGGAGGGCAGAGGTGGGTATTGCTCCTTGTTCACCTTATCAGAGCTATTTGCCCATTTGTCTGATATGCACATTTTTTTCAGACTGAAGTGTGTCACATAATTTATTGCACTTGCACATCTTTTAAAGCAAAATTTGGGATATCTTGTCCAGCATTTGCATAGAAAGGGAGGAAGGACATACCTAACCTTGCATATATCCTGTTTTGTTTAAATATTTCCTTGAGATTTAATTCATTCAAAACAAATGCAACAAAAAAATTTATGATATTTTAAAAACTCTCTTACAGCAATTTTCCTCCTTTACATAATGCCACCTTCTATCTGTTCTACAACACACTATGGGCATTTAAGTTTTCTCATTAAATGTAATGTTCTGTAAAATCAGTGCTGCCACTGACCTTGAGCATTCATGAGGTCAGTTTTAGTTATGTAGGTTTTAGATTTTAATTAACTTGTTTCTTAACAGAACCCTGTATTTTAAGTGCATTGGGTGTTCTTTTCCCTTGCTTTCCTGGAGTGAGAAAATTATAGGAAAGATTTTTTTAAACAGCACATTTTAATGTCAGACTAATTAAGGGAGAAAATAGAGACCCCGGGTGGCTTTGCTTCAAAATAGAATAAAGAACAGGGCATGTTGAGTTGCCAAGAGTCTTTGTGAGGATTGAAAGGTTGGCTGATTCAGTGCATAGTTTTTGTCTGGATCCCATCATCTGACTTGTGCACCAACTACTAATGTTTTAGTATGTTAAACACAAAATACTTTTCACAAGACTAAATTATATTATATATATTTTAATTGTATTTTAATTGTTCTAAATTGTATTGTTTTTTAATTGTTGTAAGCCGCCCAGAGACCATTGGGTAGTGTGGGCGGCATATAAATTAAATAAATAAATAAATATATAAATACTTTGGACCTGTGTTAAAGTAAGCTGCTCACAGAAGCTTCCACAGATTCTCAACCCCTCGCATGCAGCCATGCAGAAACCGAAGCTGCTGAAAGAGTATTAGACAAAAGCAAACAACAACAAAATAAAAAACATTGTGGCACCTTAAATGCTATTTTATTTTAATGAGAGCTTTTGTGTATTAAGTCCACATCCTCAGATATTAGAAGGAAACTGTAGGACTGCAAATTTTAATATGGCCCCATGATCAGATGGGGATGCAGATAATAGACAAAGTGACAATAGTTCGTTAGAACGATCAAACTGTGGATAGTTTCAATTAGCAATTACTGTTTATGAGTCTACAAGGCCGCAAGAGGTTTTTCATCCTTGCCTTACCTGAAGATTTCTGCGCACCTTTGGACAGTGTCTAAAATGAAGCAGATAAGACTCAAACGGCAGTGCTTATGGAATACAGTTGCCAGATGATTGCCCAAAGATCCAGCCTACCCATTTCAATATTCCAGGCAGGAAAAATAAGATTAAAACACCAAACCACAGGGTAGTCTGACAGTCTTTGCTAGGAAGGGATTTGGCAGTGTTCAAAGATAAAGCCAAGGTGAAACAGCAGAAATTCAGAGGTTGAATTACAGTTATAAAATGTTTTTTTTTTTTTTTGCATTCATAGAATCATAGCATAAGGGAGTTGGAAGGAACCTGTAAGGCCATTAAGTCCAATCCCCTGCTCACTGCAGAAATTCAGATTATAGTATATGGATGCATTTACCTAGAATAGCACAAAGAGAGGACTGGAAACGCAGTGGAAGGTTTTACAGATTGTCATCTACTGCAATTATGTGCCATTTGACATAGTTACTGTTACTTACATTTGGAACTGGGAGGATGTTCCAGAGGCATTGGAAACAAGATGAATTTGAAAAGAAGACCTGAAGAAGTAAGGCATAAAATTTCATAAGGGCCTCTGGGAAGAACTTCTAATCATTTCTGGTAACCTAAAATTTTAGATCCCTGATAATGAAAGCTAAATAGTCCTTGCACTGTTGTATAGTACAGGACTAAACCAAACTGCTTGTTCAGGTTAGAGACCCATTAAATCAACTGACAAATGTAAGTCAATACTTATGTAAATTCCATTGATTCAATGGTTTACTCTAGTGACCACTAGCAATTGATTTCAAGCCACAGGGCACTAGTATTACCAATTTTAAAGACAAATCTTTACTTGCAATGGAGGAAAACTCAAGTGCATCTTTCCCATTTCCAACAGCAAAAGTAGTCTGACTTGATGTTGTTGTTGTGATTGAAAACCATGCAGTGCATGTTTCTAATCGAATTACTGGATAAAACTAATTTCCTGGCATTAGGATAATTAGGTCTTTTTCCTTTCAACGCAAGTGAACATTTTAGTTTGAGTGTCGTTGCCTGTCTTGGCCATGCAAAGCAGTCATTGAAGATCTTGGTGGGTAAATCATTCAGATGATGAGAGAGAGAGAGGAGAGACTGGCTCAGAGTGAACTTTGCTGAATTTCCAAAGAAAACAAAGGGATTGGGCAGCAATTGGCAGCTAATAATGAGTAGAGGAGTCCTGCTTCTTGTTGTTGTTGTTGTTGTTGTTGTTGTTGTTGTTGTTGTGGCTGTTTTGAATAACACCACATTGTCCTGAATCTGTTTTCCAGGTGTCAATCCCTGTGCACAGCCAGGTTTTGCCTCCTATGGAGGCTGTGGATGAGCCTGGTCCTCTTGAACCTTTGCACAATCCAATGGATAGTATGTCAGCGAAAGAGGAAAATGAAGATGATGAGGATGAAGATGAGGAAGAAGAGGAAGAAGAGGAAGAAGAAGAAGAGGGGGAAGATTCAGACATGGATGAATGGGATCCGGATCCACCTCGTCCATTTGATCCTAATGACCTCTGTAAGCATACAAAGAAGTGATTTTTTAAAGGGCAGAGGTGGTGGTTTTTGATCTTGTTATCTTCTCCCTTTTTTCAGTGTGCCACAATATTTAGTAAATGAATCCGAGCCCTCTTGATGTCATTTGCACCCTGGGGTCAGCAGCCCTGGAATTGCCTTGAGTTGGATCAGATGCCCCTTGTGGTCCCTTCCAACTGTACAGTCCTTTGGTTCTTTGGTTCTGTGATTAAGAGAAGCGTTGAAACTTATCGCTCAGAACTAGAACTTACATTAGGGGCAAACTTAGTTGGTTGCTGATAGTAAGAAGTTCCTTTAATATTCTCAGGATGTTTCTCTTGATCTTCCTTCAGGAAGGAGCCTAAATATTTTACTGTCTTTAACCTTTGTTAAAAGGTAGGGATGGAACATGCTCTTACACCTTTCAGTAAATGATGGTCTTCCCAAAATTCCTCGGGGACATTACACTGGCTGTCTTTATATAATTACCAAATCTTCAGATATATATATAGTTATATTTCAAAGTTGAAATGAAGGAGATCTCCACATAGGCAATGGCATACTGGTTCTGCAAGTCTTCCTTTTCTTGTATCAGTGCTTATGGGATTATGCATTTCTGTCCTTTCTTTCTGTGTCTTTCAGGGTGTGAAGAGTGCAACAATGCACATCCCTCAGTCTGCCCAAAACATGGGCCCCTGCACCCGATCCCGAACCGACCCGTCCTTACAAGAGCCAGAGCAAGCCTCCCCTTAGTGCTTTACATAGACCGATTTTTGGGAGGAGTGTTCTCCAAACGACGCATTCCGAAGCGCACACAGTTTGGCCCCGTGGAAGGACCCCTGGTGAGGCAGTCAGAGCTTAAGGACTGCTATATCCATCTAAAGGTAAGGGGCATTGGTCATTTCCTACACAGTCTACATGTTTCGAAGAACACATTTTCTTATGTACAGTTGATTTTCCTTGAAAGGAATTCCACATGCTCACAAGAGGTGGAAGCGGAACTATGCATCCACACAAGTCTAGTGTAAACAACAACAACAAAAACTCCACTCAATGAGAAAAGATGCAGTTTTGCTCTCTGATATTGGAAGAGGTTCCATGTTTTTTTCATAGGGATTCTACTTCTTTGGGGAGGGGGATACTGTTAATGAACAACCAAAACTCCCGTGCCTGTTTAAAAACTGATAGAGTTGGGATGGCACTAAAAGGAGCCTGTTTCATCGGATGCTTGAAGCAGACATTCAGGATCGCAGAAATAGCAGAAAGAATCAGAGAGCTGTAGAGCTAGAAGGGACCCTCAAGGGTCACCAAGTCTACCCTCCTGCCAAAGTGAGAAATCTTGAACACAGATCTCTCCACTTCTTTCTCCCTTCCACAAATATGTACACTGCACTCTCTCTGTCTTAGTCCTTTCTTACTGAGAGTTACTAGATTTCATGATAAAATCTACTTCATTAATAATGACTATCTCATTATCCTAATGTGCTTGTTGTATTTATTTGACTCAGGTGTCCCTTGACAAAGGTGACAGGAAAGATCGAGACCTACAGGAGGATCTCTGGTTTGAACTGTCCAGCGAGGCTCTTTGCAACTGGATGATGTTTGTGCGCCCTGCCCAGAATCACTTGGAGCAGAACCTTGTAGCGTACCAATACGGCCATCACATTTATTACACTACAATTAAAAATGTGGAGCCCAAACAGGAACTCAAGGTATGAGGCTGTCTTCGTTCTATACCTTCTTTTCCCTAAATGAAAACTGGCTGATTTTTTTAAAACATCGTCTTTGTCTTCTTTTCAAAACAGCCTTATAATAAATAGATGAATCATTGTGCAAATTAATCAGCGCAAGGCAGTTTTGTTCAGTGGGTGAGACACATACTTTGATTTGCAGGCTTTTCCTTTGTGCTGATGTGTTACTTTTGCATAGCTGTTCTGGAAAAAGAGTTGGTGGCCAAATCATGTCATCATGAGTTGGAGCCACTATTTGTAGGGAGCAAAACTACCTCTACAGCTGTTGAAATACAGTTGTCTGACTGACACTTAGGATCAACTTATACAGTTGCAACATCCACCACTATTGATGTGACAAAAACACCATCTCTTCGTGGTTGAGAGCTTTTAGGATGTATTGGTCAGAAGTTTTATTGCCTGCACTGAATTACTACCAGGCCACTGTGGCGTTCTGAACTCCACCAACAAAGAATAATAATTTGCCTATGCTAAAATAAAAAGAAAGGAGGCTGTGGAGTGTTTGCTCTTGCCCGGCTATGTTGACTGCTAAGTTGACTCTAGTCACTGAATTGCCTTGATCGTGTAAGCAAATTGGAATGCCCAAATCAATCTGGTACAAAAATATCCTTATAAAGGGTCCCTACTAGAGATGGGCATTAACTGCTGGTTCGTGCCAGTTCATTTACTAGCCAAGCAAGTGTTTGGTGCTTTGCAGCCCTGCCGCCTCCAGCAGGCTCCCACTCAGAGGCACACCCTGCTTCCCTGCCCACCTCCTCTGGGTGCTGGTTTACTAGCCAGGCAAGTGTTTGGTGCTTTGCAGCCCTGCCGCCTCCAGCAGGCTCCCACTCAGAGGCACACCCTGCTTCCCTGCCCACCTCCTCTGGGTGCTGCCTCTGAGTGGGTGCCTGCCAGAGGAGGCAGGGCTGCAAAGCGCCAAGCACCCATTTGGCCAGTAAACAAACCATTGAATCTGATGATTCGTGCCCATCTTTAGTATACACCTCTAGTAGGCAGTTTAAAATGAATTTGAACCAAAACAGCATGTTTTATTCTTAATTCCCTCTTCTCTCCTTTATGGCCTTTTTCCTTGCTTGGCCATGAATTCGATTGTCTTCTCACCAATTCCCCTCCATCTCAGACTTTGTCAACTAGTGAGGTATCATTTGCTTACATCCGCCTGCTGCTGAGGTTTGCAACCTGGTCTGTTATGTGTGATGATTTGACTTTTCTGCTTGGGTTTCCAAACATCACAAAGTTATTTTTATCCCATGCTAAAAAAACAAATCAAGTGGAACTTGGAGGGAGCAGTTGGGAGAATAGCTTTCCAGTTTGAGGGCAGTCCGAAAGATCAGTGCTGCCATCCGGGGTTTTCCTGTTTCCTGAAGTCTATGCTTTCTTTTTGTCTAGCGCCCTAATCTTGGCAGGATGTGAAATGGCTGGATGGAATCAGAATCCGGTGCCCTCATAGGCAGGATCCTGAAACGGTCTAGCAGAGACCTCTAGCATATGATCCCGCTTCAGCCCCTATCAGACCCTTCCTATCCTGTTCCACCTGCAATATAGCAGGGATGATATTACTGGCCAACAAAAGTGTTATGAGGATAATATGTGGTCACGTTATACATTGTGCTGCAACTGCATGCAGTGCAGCCTGACAGACCTTTCCCTGAACTGCTGGATAGCTCAGTGGTTTAGATCTCTGGCTGCAGAGCCATAAGTTGGGAGTCCAATTCCCCCACTGTGCCTTCTTGATAGGGACTGGACTTGATGATCCATACTGCCCTTCTAGCTCTGTGGTTCCAAGGTATTATTATTATTATTATTATTATTTCATCTGGTTCCAGTGGACATACTGGGCATGTCCCATATTATTATCATCATCATCATCATCATCATCATCATCATCATCATCATCATCATCATCATCATCATCATCATCCTTGGGAAGAGCTACTCTGCAGCAAAGAAGGGGGCTAAGAAGGGAGTCTTTGCTTTCTCCTAAAACTTCCAAAGCTTCGCCCATGTCCTCTGCAACCACTCTTGTTTTGCTAATGTTTCGGACTAATTTTGAACCTTTCAGGGCATTTGGTAGGTTCTTGAGCTCCCCAGCAAATCTTGGTTCCATGCAGTAGTTTCCTGGGCTGTATGTCAGCTGCACAGAATCACTTCCTGGGTTGCGAAGCATAGTTCCATGTAAGAGCTTCTTGGGTGGCAAAGCACAGCGCTATTCCAGGCAGTGTCTTCCTGGCCTTTAAGTAACTCCTGATCATTCATCAGTGATATAACATAAGACATTTGTACCCAAGCAGCAGTTTTGGGGTTGCCATCCCTGTGCAATGGAAACCCACCTATAATTATTTCTATTAGTTTTCCCCACACAGATACATTTGTTTTAAATACCTTTAAATGAGACTTTATGAAAAAGACAAAAAAAAGAATAGCATATTATTTTTCCCCCAGTACTATTCGTGCCATTTTGAAAAATACTCCCCCTCCACTTTTTGGCTGCCATGGCAATTGATGAATGAGGATTAGTGATGAAAATCAAGATACTCATCCACACGGCCTCTCTCAGAGGGTCTGTCGTGCAGCATATGAAAGAAATCCCAATAGGAGCAGCCTCTTAAGAATATTTGCGGCTCGACACGCTTAAAAAGAATTCTTGACACTTGTAGAGAAATGCTTGTTCTTATAAAGAGCCGTGTACTTGAATTTTTCTCTTTGCCTTTTGTGTCAGTGTCAGCCATGTGGAAAATGAATAATAACATGCTGGGAGCTGCAGATTCTAGTGAGGGCCAGTGCAATGTGGCGAACAGAGTGTCAGGCATGGATGAAAGAGACCTAGGTTTGAGTCCCTGCTCGGTCAAGACATTTCCTTGCTGGAGTCAATCACTGTCAGTTAGGCTGAAGGACCCTTGCAATTAGGAAATGAAATAACAACCCCCCTTGTATGATGTTCTGTCTTTGTTGAAGGAAAGCAGGATTCAAATGGGATAAAAGAAATCATTACCTTGACTACCTTTTCAGCATTTCCAGTACATTTCTTTTTAATGTCATGTGCCTCTATTGCAGGTGTGGTATGCTGCCTCTTATGCAGAATTTGTCAATCAGAAGATCCATGACGTATCTGAAGAAGAAAGGAAAGGTACTTAATTTTCTATTCTTAAGGGGTGCCATTTGCCACATCTACTTGCAGCCAGACTTATGGGGTAGTAATCCAATCTCTGCTAAGGCAGTATTCTGTGCTTTGCTTGCTGTTCAGTAGATATCTACATAGTAGCTCTACATGGGAGTGGAGCTGGCCTTTTGCTCAGTGCCTTAATGCCCTTGGTACTATTTCTCTAGCTGCCAAACATGGCCAGCAGTCAAAGCATCCTCATCTTCATCCTCTTGGTTTTCATGACTCTGCCTGGTCATATACCAGCCACTGCCACCTCAAGTGTTTTACAAAATGGAAGAAAAAACAGCTAGAAAAAGAAGTCGAGACTCCTGTTGCTTTGCTGAAAACATTCTCTATTAATAGAAAACTTCAGAAATAGTCTGATCTATGAGTTGTTCATTTTCTTGGACAGACTGTGGCACAGAATATCCATCCTGGAACATTTCTTGTTTGTTTTGAAATGGAAGACAAGGGCCTTGTCCTCATGCTTGAAAATATGCTGGCCCTGAGTACAATCAGCCTGCAAATTTTCATGTATCCCACATGTGGTTTTGGCCTTTGATTCAGCAATATTATTCCATGGGCTGCACCCCTTATCTCCCAAAGATGCACTAACCATACAAAGCAATGTTATTTTCTGGCTTCCCATTGTAGCTTGCTTCCAAGAATGTTTACACTCTTGTTGCTTTTCTTTCTTAGCCAAAGATGCTATGTTATACAAAAAAAATTAAAAAGTTAAAAAGAGAGAAAGAAATATTGCATTAGAACAAAACAAACACTTTAAATGAGTTTATGCAAGATAAATGTTGAAGCTTTTAATATTTAACTGGGAGTGCAGAATTCCAGTGACAGCAATATTTACAAAAGCTGAGTAGCTTGGATGGAGCAATCTGAGAATTTGCAGATATTTTACAACCTTTTGTGTTTCTGCCCTCCAGAATTTAGGTAGTTAGTTTTAGGAAGAATTAAAGTCATATCATACTGGAGCTGTCTATAACTGAGCAGTGGTAGGATGATGCATTGAGTCTCAGAGCTTCATCCTGAGACTGTTCAATTACAAATGGCTTATTACTCTTTTTAACCTCCTGTAAATGCTAGAGAAGATCAAATACAGCCTGTGAGTGAAAGATAGGTGCATTTCTGAGTCACCCTTACTTTGCATGGGGTGCAGAGGAGAGTATGTGGTGGAATTTTAAAAAAAAGCTTGGTGGTGTCCAGAATATTGTTACCCACTGATCTCACCTGAAAATGCAGTTCTCCGAGAGCAAGAAAAAAACTGGCCATGTTATGAGTGCAACCGACGGTTCATGAGCTCAGAACAGCTCCAGCAGCATCTCAACTCTCATGATGAAAAGATGGATTTCTTCAGCAGGTATTTGTTAGTGTGCAGAAGAGAGCTTTGCAAATCCCACCCCTTTCCCACTTGAGTTGTTCCTTCCAATTTCCATCTGAGAGCAGAGAGAGAACGGGATTTCCTAAGTGTGTACAAAGAGGCCCAAAGAACTCTCCTAGTGACATTAAGCGATTGCTCTTCTGAGAAATCATACAACCCAGGGAGAGATGGGGAGGCAATTAGAGAATAGCACAGGGGCCATACTAGGGATTGGCACGTTGACCTGTGCAGGCATCTGTGAACACCTCATAGAGCCTACATGGTACTAATTCTTAAACAATGGCATTGGCCGCCAATTCACTTCTGATCTGAGTCTAAGATGTTGACGATGGCTTTCAAAGCCCTAAATGGCTTGGGATCTTGATCTTTTAGGGAGTACCTCTCCCAATGAATACTTGCCTGATTATTAAGATTTGCTATGGTTGTCTCCTAGGGGCCATTACTGAAAGATATGGGATTTGTCAGGCATTTGTGAGTTGTGGAATACTCTCCCCACCACCACTTCCAAACCAGGAGGCTCAACTGGTGCCAACTTGCCTTTATTTGGGCTCCATATTAAAACCTTTTCATTCATTCAGGCATTTGGCACTAGGAGAACTGTGTCATGGCGTCCAGTCCTGCTGTTTTTTCCCCCATGAATTGTTGAGTTGTTTTAAACTGGTTTAAAATACATTAGTTAGTTTTGAATACTTGAAGGTTAGAAATGTGTTGCTCATTTATGCTTTTGCAAGGGAAATTAAGCAAGTCATGGCAGAAAAATGCAACTCATTAAGGTTGCTTTACTAGGTGTGTATCTGATTATGCAATGAAGAGCAATTTGCCACCAATTTCCCTTAGGCAAGCATAAATCAGCAATAACATTCTGGTTGGATCATTCTAGATTGTTTTGATGTGATTTTATTGAAATCTGCCATGAAATCTGTTGATATAGAGTGGATTTGAAATGTTTTATTAAATAAATTAATAGATCCTCCACTGAGCAAGGGGTTGGACTCGATGGCCTTATAAGCCTCTTCCAACTCCATTATGATTCTATGGTTGTTGATTTGATAGCAAACTTGTCAATGCAAACAAGGTCTAGAGACAGAATATGAGATACCGGGGACAAACAAAAGAGGAGGCCTTTTGTCATCTCTACTTGCTAGTTTCATTGATATATCTGGCTGGCCAATGTTGGCAATTTCGTGTTGGACTGCATTGCACCTTTCCAGACTCTTGCCCCAGACTCGTGTTGTCATTGAGAGTATCTTTCTTTGGCAGCTGATGGAACTCTGGTTCCATTGATAGATTTTATACCTTTGACCAGGGATGATGAATTCGTGACTACAACTCCCAGTTGTAGCCATTGGTTCTCCATCCCACTATATCCTTTTGCTAAATTGGCTGGGGTGGTGGAATATTCAGTCAGGCAAGGAGCAGCCCTGCCCCCCCCCAATGTTCTAATCCAGTGTTTGGCATATTTTGCAGAGCAAGAGGGAGGGGTCGTGGGCGAGGAAAAAGAAGATTTGGACCAGGCCGGCGACCGGGCCGCCCTCCTAAATTCATGCGCTTGGATGTGGCCAGTGAAAATGGAGAAAAGTGTGCAGAAGAGACTCAGGTATTGTTGGAGAGAGATGGTGAAGGGGTTTCCTGAAATCAAAGAAGTTTTGGTTCCAGTCCAGATCCAAGTATCTTCAGCAACTGAAGTCCCTGGCAGTTAGAGAACCACTAAGCACCTAGAAGGGGTGGGTGGTAGGAAACAATGAGGCTGGGGGGTACATAGGAGTAACTTACTCAGCATCTTCTACCAGCAATGAGTTCTCCATCCTCAGTGTGTGTAGCTGACACTGACACTGTATAAGAAGCAATAGCATAGAACTGATATTCCTGGATCAAGAGAACTCTCATCTATGATCTTAGTACCCTGGCTTGAATTGCAATAGATCTCCTCTGTTTCTTGTGTCTTAGTCTTCAGCATTGAGCTGCAGAATTATAAGCACTGGAACAACAGAAGAAAAATGAGCCTGAGCGTCTTCCTTTATGTTGTCCCACATTCCGAACAAAAATAAGAAACAGAATAGTAGAACAATGCTATTGAGGATTTATAAACCAACACGATCCAACTGCTTGCTTTCTTGTGTGATGTGGAATTTCAGGACTTACTGCATTTCTCCAGCAAGGGGCAGTTTGAGGAGGCCGGGCAAACGACCTTGAATGGACTTGACCAACAGGAACAGACGCCGGTGCCACCAGAGGCGCCCTCGTCTCTGGATCCCCCAACTGAGAGCCAGCCGTTGCAGCTCCAGCCGCACGAACAGACGATGGCACCTACCCAGAGCCTGATGACAGCAGATGACATACGGCGAGCAAAGCGCATCCGGGTAAGGGAAGACCCTGGCAGCTGTTCTGGGCCTGGGCAGATATCTCCCCTTTGCCTGTAGACTGGCCGTCAGCATCCCTGTCTTTATGGGCCCTGTTCTTGTCCCTTTAGGTCACAGCTGAGGTGTGGCAATTAAGCAGGAAAAGCTTTCCCCATAATTTGATCTCTGTGCATGCAGATTTTTTTTTTGCCTCTGAGTGCTTCTACGTATCAGGCCACTCTCTAACGATGCAGGAGCAGTGCCAGTAAAAAAGAAAGGCAGCTTTATCTGTAGTCTAGGTGTGGAGCCTGGAATTTTGAGTATGGATACAGTGGTACCTAAACTTGGACATCAGAGGATGGAAATCGGCTGACTTCAAGCAGCCAGTAGGTAGGGCTTCAGCACTCCACATAATACCCCCTTTTGCTTGCTGCAATTCTCACTTTTCCTTTATGTTTACTCCCCCCCCCCTTTGGCCAGAATAACACCAGTAAAAGACAAACCAGATGATACAAAAATCTGTTTCTAATCTGTGTGCTTTACAGTGGACATAGAATTAGAATTTGTGTGATATAAATTCAGGAAGGCCAGTTTGGTGGGAAAGACGCGTATCCCTGTTTTTCACTTGTGTTTTTGCACTAGAATGTTGATCCACCTGTGAGTTACTGGTGATATTTTTTTTTACCTGCAACTTGTGTTAATTACCAGACATTTCAGGCTGAGCCCATCTTATTGCTTTAAAAAGGAAGAGGCTGTTGCTTCTTGCCGGGTGCTTGCTTTGCCTGCCACTTGCTGCTGGCATTTTAGCTTCTTCAATTAGTGTCAGTCTCCGAGTGTCCAGCATGTCGTTTCAGGCTAAGGACATCCCATTGCTGTGTGAAAAATTCAACTGCACACATACGTATTATCCAGCCCCTCTTGTAATGCTTTAAGGCAGTGGTCCCCAACCTTGGGCCTCCAGATGTTCTTGGACTACAGCTCCCAGAGGCCTTCACCACCACCTCTGCTGGCTGGGATTTCTGGGAGCTGAAGTCCAAGAACATCTGGAGGCCCAAGGTTGGGGACCGCTGCTTTAAGGGATCTGACTACCAACTGAAGTGGGTCAGATTTGGGGTGCTTGAGGTGCCTTTTCTTGAAACCTAGTCTCTCCAGGTGGGCAGGGAGGAGTCTTCCGAACGGTCCCATGAAGTGGGTGTGGGTACTAATAGCCTGCCTGCTGTGCTACCTGTGTGGATGCCTTCGTTCTCTCAGAATTGGGAGACATTGCCAAAGAGCCACCATGACCCTTGGCTCACATCCATTTTTTTTATCCTACAGCAAAGATTATATATAATGATAAAAATTCCTTCCCAGGGCCATAGCTTCTCCCCTCCTCCTTTGTGAGATTAAAGACTAGATGGAGAACTCTGCATACTAAGACCAAACACTTTTGAACCGGCGCTCTCTGGCAGCTGCCCTGCTCTCAAGTGAAAGAGGGAAATCGTTCAGACACGTAATCCTTCAAACGATCCAGTTGGGAGATCAGTTTATGGTAGCTTAATATCTTTTTTCAACCATCACCCCCTTTCTGTATATAGGGTTTCAATTACAAAAGAAAACAGCTGCAAGCAAGTCAGGCCTGCATTCGTTTGTAGTGTGAGGGTTTTTTTTAATGACTGTGGCTTCCTTGAAGGAGATTGAGCAAGATTTAATTTAACTACAACAGGGTGAATTCCCTGCTGTTAAAGAAGTTACTGCACAGACACCATGGCATGTGCTAAGGGTACAGCCTGGCACAGCTTCCACCAGTTTCCTTTGGCTGAAGGATTTTCGCCTTCTGAAACAGAAAAGCTGAATGCATATCAAATATATTTTAATAATATAATGTTCTTCAAGAATCCTCGCACATCCATAAAAAAAACATACTTTCCTCTCTACTGTGTTACTTTATAACACTATGGCATTAGACTGGGCCAGAGCCAATATTTAATTTGCCCTGAAAAACATCTAACTTGAACATGAAATGAATTAGATTATTTTCTAATGGATCGTATATTTTCAGAAGGCTTTACATTTTCTAGATTGATATTTAACAGGATGAACACTGTAAGTTGCTGTGTTTTGCCCATTTGTGATGGGTTTTTCGTTTTGTTGACTGATCATTAGCATTAGCTTCTCTTTCGGAAGGCCTGCCTTGTGCTTTGAAACAGTTCATGATATAGAAAAGCGGGGCTTTAATATTCGCCATGGAGAAAATTCTGAAGTCCCACTAAGTTAGCTCTTTGAAATCCAGTTGGTTAATTTTGTATTGGATGCTGCAGTATATAGGTTTTTGGTCTCATCCAACAAGGTTCTTCTCACTTTCTTAATAGGGATGGATAAGAATTTCATTGGATTTGACAGTGTACATGAAAGTAGCATTTCCTAAAGCATGTTGAGACAGGAACCCATGCAAAATTTCACACATTTCTGAGCCCTGCAGCCATTCTGGAAGAATAAGATGTGTACAAATTATGTGGATGTTTTAAAAAGCAGATCACTAAAATGGAGGGAATGATACAAATTAGCACAGACAAGGTTTAGTCTGTGGAGGAAATGCTTACATTAGTTGAAATGTATCCATAATGCACATGTTTGGGAAAATGTACAAAAGTGTCCACAAATTTCAGTGCAAGAAGAGAAAACTAAAGTCTCACAAACCGAGAAGAAGAAATAAGAATGAGAGTCAGAAAAGCCCAATGAAATGAAGTCTAATTTTAACATCCCTCGTTGTATAGGTGGTATGAATAGAGGCTAGTTAGGCAAAGGGAAGAGCTGTTAAAAAAGAGGTGGAACCCAGCTAGCATGGCATGGGTTGCTGTTGCTTTATTTACTGTCCATTACCCGTTGTTGTTCTTGCCCCTTTCTCTGCGTCGTTCGATTGTGAAGTCCATGAGGCAGTCGACTGACCTTCTGCTTATGTGTGCCTGTCAAGATCAAGAGTGGTGCCTGAATAAGACCCATGATGAGCTCAGCAAGCGTTATGCCACAAAGTGTCCTTGTGGACTTCAGCCCATATTTTTGAACGGTAGAGTGTCAGTCCACTTTTAGTACTCTCTAGACTTTTACTAGCTCTAAGAAGCAATCCTGTTTTGAGCCTGTTTAGGGAAAACCAGAGTCCCTGGAAGTGGTCTGAAAGCAATTGAAGCAGCACCTTTCCCAAAGCTAAGCAGAGCTGGGTCTCTTTAGTGCCAAAATGGAAACCCAGCATATGATGGCTTGAACCCCACAACAGGTGAAGGCAGGAAGTAAATTAAATAAAGAATAGTATTCTTTGTGGTCTTCAGCCCTGAATATCGGTCATGAGTTTTTGAATGGCATCTGTGCTTGTGTAATTTGAGAATGTGACAGGGTCTCTGCCGATGTCCTCTCTGAAGCTATAGCTTCTGGACCCCTAGGAGACAAGGAGGGGGGGGCAACAGGTCCTGGCATGGGAGCTGGCTGATGAGGAACACCTGCAAGGGGGAGAGAGCAAAGGTGGAGGCTGGGATAAAGGAGGAAGACTGTGAGGATTTGGGGCTTCCTTCAGGGAAATGGAAAGAGATGGAGACTTTGGAGGAGGAGATGAGGGGAGAGGTTGTTAAGGCTTGAGATCTCTAGTTCTGTGCCTTGGCTGAGGTGGAAAGTAACTGGGAAGAAGAGCCCCAGACTGAAGCCCCTGAGCCTCATCCGTTGGGTAGAGGAAGGGGTCACAGATGATGGATCCTGGGGCCAGGAGTCTACTGCACCTCTGACACAACATTGGTGCCCATGTCATCCAACAGGAGCTGTGATACCCACTCCAACCCAGCTGTGATGCTGGGGATGAAAGTGTCAGCATGAGAGACAGAGGGGGCTCCAAGGATGAGCAGAAGAGAGGGCACCAGTATCTCCCACTTGGCTCTGCTAGCCATCCTTGAAAAGTCTCCAACCAAGGCTGGTACCCATCCTTCTCTACTACTTTCAGACCAAGACTCTCAGGGCACAGTGGGGCTTTAACAGGGGGTCTTCATTTCCTGGAGGTTAGTGCAATGCATTCACGCTTCTTGAAAGGACATTTCCTGGAGGTTAGTGCAATGCATTCAGCTCCCCCCAGGAAACTGTCAGAGGGATTTAAGGACGGTATTCCTGTTTCTGTCGATTCCTTGGCTGCAATAAAATCTGTTCTTGGTCATTCTCACAACCTGGAGCCTGTGGAATTATTGCTGGGAGACTAGGCCACTGCCAGCATCACCAGAAGGTGGGTCCAGCAATGCTCACAGCCACTATCTAGTATTATTGCTTTTTAAAGAACAAATGGGTAGAAAGGTTTAAACAGAAATCTCTAGTAACTGGTTTATCCATTAGACTCTTCTACTTAATTAAATCCAGGGAATCCATGTGTTTAACATGTCCACCTGTGACCCTTTTGCTTCTCCTCCATTCATTCCTTAAATATATGGGAAAACAAATTACAGGTATGAAGCTGCAGTTAATTATCATTTCCTGTTATGTGCAAACCAAGAACTATGGTTGATGGCTTCTGAACAAACTAGGATTTGGAAGCTGATGGCTTATGTAGGAATATCATATTGGCTGCAGAACCTTAGATTTTACATTTGATGCAACACAACCTCACCGTTTAGAGCCATCCAAAGGCAGTGTAGCTAGGATGATGTCCAGGCTCAGGTGGGAGAAGCACAAGAAGAACAGAAACCTAACATGGTCTCAGTAGATACTTATTGTCCAAGGGTGTGTTGCAGTTTCGTATGCTTATTGACACCATCCTGAGGAGGCTGGGTGGATCATCTGAAAGAGAGGCACAGGCAGTTCCTTGTCTAGCTTCTGTAAGTCCAAGAGCTCTAAGCACCCACCATTCATGTTCCAATTTCAGTCCCCACCTTCGCTCCTCTGAGCTGCATGCAGTGCTAACTTGGGGAAGGAAGAATGTTTCCATAAGGAGGCTCTCGATTGCCTGGTGTGTGAGGTGTGGGGTTGCACAGTAATGATAAACAACATTAAATACAATGGCGCCTGCAGCCTAGCTCTGGAATTTTATTTAAATCTCTCTCTCTATAGATATTTTGTATTAGTAGGGAAGAGAATTAATATTTAATGCCTGAGAAGTAGGGTGGAAAACAGACAGTGGTTAATAATAGAAGAGAAAGTGAAGGCTGAGCGGGCATGTTTTCTTTGTGTTTTCTCCTACTCTGTAGGGGTGTGTGGGGCCCTGGTGCCTTTTCAATCTTCTGCTGAGCTGGTGTCTTGTAATTGGAGATTTCATGTACAAAAATGTAGCAGCCTCTCCCGCCTCAGCTACTTGCCAGCATCAAAAATGCCTCTTTTAATTACTGAAGCTCATGGGACCCTTGGAAGCAAGACTGCAATGCCAGCTGTGAACTGTTCCTACTGCAGCCAAAGCGAAGATTAAGAGATGGCTCTGCTGAAATGGGTTAATTTAGGAGGACGTAGGAAACATGTGTGGAATATTTCAGTGCCTTTTATGTGGGGAGAAATTTGAGGCACGCATTAACATCTGAGGAGTGGAGGAGGTTGCTTGATGGCATCCTTCATGCCTTGCAAACAGTACCCCCCCTCCCAACACACACACACACACACACACACACACACACACACACACACACACACACTTTTGCTTGTCTTCAGGCAAGCCCTGAGGAAATAAATGAGGTCTGTAAGGCTTGGCGTGCATGCCAAGTTAAATCAAAGAAAAGCCAGCCCCTTCCCTGAAAGGAAAACAGATGCTGATCGTGTTAGATCTGTGGCAGGTACCTGCTGGGTAGCGAATGTGTCCTCCCAACCTCCTCCCTCATCCCCAGGGCGGTTTGTAGCAGTTTTCGAAATGCTTCAGATTTGGGTGAAGTTTGTTTTTTTTTAAAAAAGGAGTGCATATATGTCTATACCTCTTATATCAAAAGGAAATAAAAACTGGCCTTATATTTATTGCACAAAGTATTGCCCTCTGATTTAAAGAGAGGTTTCTCTTTTAACCATGTTTTCAGTGGATAAAGTGCATTTCTCTCTTCAGCAACGCAACAACACTTTAATCACTTTATTTTTTCAAGGGGGAGACCGGTTGAAATGGGAATCTGACATGTTCAATAATCTTCTGATGATCGGTGTGTGACAAACACCTTTGTAACACAGCTCAACACAGGCCCTTATGCAGACCAAACCCTCTTAAATCTTTACTGATAGTCTTACCCCAAGGGAAGTTACAGAACAGACCCTGCACCTGTGTTGAGTCATAGGTTCAGCACACAGAATACGCCATAAAGTGAATAAATGAGAGTGAGGCCTTGCAATGATGCCTTTGAGACCGGGCATATACTTTCATGGAAGGAGCTTGGTTTAGTAGAAATTTGTACCATTCCAGAATCTCCAGTATAAGAGCCATCTTCTGTTCTCTTTAGGGCAGAACATTGTCAGGCAGTGAGCAAAATGTGAAGGTGAGCAAGGAACAGCAATACGAAAGTCGATCAATGAGCATGACTCACAAGCATTTTGCAGAATCAGGGCATATTTCTCCTGACCCTGTTCTCTACTGTTGGTGTGAAAAGTTTCTTTTGACATGTGCAGCTATTCTTCCAGCCTTTTTTCCTCTTTTGTCTGGACAGCCTGGTAGTGCACAGGCTGGATCATCATATATCCAGTTGACATTGCATATGAGCCCACATGTTTGCAGGTGCACTGGACTGAAGGAACCAGATCTGTGAATACTAAAGCAGATGCGTGCAAATCTGCTTCCTCAGGAGTGGGCAATGATGGCCTTGGGGTGATTTGGAGATGCAACCCTCATAACGCCTCACTATTGGCTGTGCTAGCTAGAGTTGGTTGGAGTTTGTAGGTCAGAAAGGGATTAAATTGCCCACCTTTGGCTTAAATCAATGGGGCAACTCTTGGGAGCCGGAGCTTGACACAACATAAATGTTCTACCTCTTTAGCAAAGTGCTAGATCGGGGGGAGATCGAAATGAATGGTGATACAAAAGATGGCCAGTCTTTTATCCATGCTGCAGCTGATTTGGCATTGTGTCTTTTAGCAGATCTATCAGTCTCTCTTTCTCCATGAGCATACTTCCTACATCTATCTATAATGGAATTTTAATTTCTGAGTACTGTATATCTTGGCTACTCATGTATCCTTTCTATTTAATTTCTGAGTATATCTTGGCTACTCATGTATCCTTTCTGGGATGTATCTTTTCAGAATGCAGCTCTCCAGCACTTATTCATCCGGAAATCATTCCGTCCCTTCAAATGCTTGCATTGTGGGAAGGCATTCCGTGACAAGGACAAGTTAGATCAACACTTACGCTTCCACGGGCGGGAAGGAAATTGTCCTCTGACCTGTGACATTTGCAACAAGGGCTTCATTAATAGCAGTGCCCTGGAGAGTCATATGAAGTTCCACTTGGACCAAAAAACCTATTCCTGCATTTTCTGCCCTGAGTCCTTTGACCGCTTAGATCTGCTGAAAGATCATGTGGCGATCCATGTTAATGATGGCTGCTTCACCTGCCCTACTTGTAAAAAGCGCTTTCCAGACTTTATCCAGGTGAGTAATAAGTGAATCAAAAGTATCCTTTGTGTTTAATTGCTTAGGTTCACATGCTAGGAATCAGCAAGATGCCTACGCTTATCAAGCATCAGAAACGAAAAGGGTATTCTTTACAGTAAGATAATTTCCGTGTAGGAAAAAATTTAGACTTTATTCTCCTGTAAATCTGAGTGCTAGACAATTTGTTTTACTATTAAAACAAGAGGTACTTATCCGTTAGAGCTTTTAAAACTGATTAATCATCTGCCTTTACATTAATTCTGTGATTACTTAATTTAATAAATTTTAATTACAAAAAAATACTGATTATACCCTCAATTGTTTGGAGGAAGGTTGCAATGTAAATGCAATAAATAGATTAAATATTTCAACATAACTGTAACTAGACCTTTAGTAGACATATCAACTGCCCATAATTAAGTGGCTACACCAGTTGCACATATACAGTATGCCTAGGGCAAAATCTCATATGTCTTCTCCTAGAACATACTGTATATTAATTATGATAACTGTTAGCCTGCTAGAATGATAAAATGTTTTTCCTTTTATTGGGAATCTTGTCCTCCTTTCAACATATGGTCACAAAACATTTAATGCTGTCAAGAATTAGCAAGATGACATCATTTCCAATATAAGCGGGTTAAAATTTGTCCATATTACTGTGCTTTTCTCTGCCTGCTCCAGTTTTTATTGGCCTATCTGGTGCTGTGATGAACCCACGCCTCTTCTATTTAAAGATACAGTGCTTGCCTGGACTAGACTAGAAAGTTATTAAACAGTGGACATTCTTTGTCTTTCTCTTTCAGAAGTTTATAATCAGGTTCCATGGCATTGCTATAAGAGGTCATCTCATCAAAGTCCTGTTTTCTTGAGCAGTTCAGGGTTTTATTTTAGTGTCCTATATTATACAGAGAAGGAATCTCTCAAAAGAGAACAATTTCAGCAACGATGGTATCAGCATCTCCCACTAGTGTTGCTAGGAAGAATGACCCCAAAGTCCTTTTCCTCCATGACTGAGCATCTTTGGTTTCCCTTGTTAATTGTTTCTGCCAGGTCAAGAAACATGTGCGTAGCTTCCACTCTGAAAAGATCTACCAGTGTACAGAATGTGATAAGGCCTTTTGCCGCCCAGATAAACTTCGGCTCCACATGCTGCGACATTCTGATCGCAAGGACTTCCTGTGTTCAACGTGTGGCAAGCAGTTCAAGGTAATACAGTCCATCTGTCAGGCATGTGCTAGACACAGTAAGAGAGTGATGTCCTTCTCTGCCATTGCCCAAACTGATTTCACAGAAACAAGAAAACTGCCAGGTCACATATTGTACTGAATGTGCACATAAGGATCCATACTGTGCACATTTGGTAGCATGCAGACCTCTGAGCATGCAGGATATGCTTTACTCCTGCAGCTTGTGAGCAAGTGATTCATTATGGGAAATCAAATATGAAATGTATTACATACGAGTGAGTGATAGAGGTCTTCCTTTCATACCAACGAAAGGCACAAACCTATTAAGGTCTCAGTTCCTTGGGGCTGGACTGTACCTTTGCAGAGTGCTTACAACACTGTAAAATGTCATGGGTGCTGATGGAACTGAATTGTTGTTGGTGTTGTCGTCATCATCATCACCACCACCATCTCCTTCACATAGTCTGCTTAATGCACAGGTGTGTAAAAGAAAAAGAAGAAAGAGTTTCTGTGCATTTTGCACCAGGTTGTGATTAGAGATGGGCACAAACTGCTAATTCTGGTTCTGATTTGTTTATCATCTGAACAGATGTTTAGTGCTTGCCCGCCACGCCTCCTCTAGCAGGCACTCACTCAGAGGCAGTTCTCAGAGGAGGCGGTGCAGGGAAATGCCAAACATCTGTTCGGCCAATAAATGAACTGGCACAAACAGCTGAACCAGCGATTTGTGCCCCTCTCTGATTGAGATATTTTAATTGGCTTAAATGCACCTAGGATCTGACTGGTAAAGAATTCCTCTTTAACATTTTCATTAGCAATGCAAACAGTGAATTAAGATTTCATATCAATTGTCTGGCAAATGCAGCTGACAAAAGCATGCTTTCACATGTTCTGCAGTAACACCCGAAAATCTTCCAGATGCTAAACTAGATTTTGGGCTGTGTTTCAATTTTCTTTTTAACCTAGTACATTGTCTCCCCCCATCCCCCAGCATTTATAAGCAGAAGCATCAATAGTGTGCTTATTTGATCATTTTGTTTTTATTGCCCCCTTCCTCTCAGAGGAAAGACAAACTCCGAGAACACATGCAAAGGATGCACAATCCAGAAAGGGAAGCTAAGAAAGCCGACCGGATCAGTCGCTCCAAAACATTCAAGCCTCGGATTGCGTCTACTGATTACGAGAGTTTCATGTTCAAATGTCGCCTGTGCATGATGGGTTTCCGGAGGCGAGGCATGCTGGTTAGTTTGCAGATTCTCCAGTCTCCCTCAAATTTATAGCAGTCAGCCACTACCCATTAGAAATTGGTTTAATTATATAAGATGCCTTCTGCTTTGCTGAGGTTACTAGCTATAACACAAGGGCATATTTATTTTTTATTTCTGACTTTGTTATCTTACCTTTCTTTTGCAATCATAAGGGCAGGGTCCACAGTTCTGTAGCCATTTTATCTTCCCAACAACCTTGTGAGGTAGATTTACCTGTGAAGTCATTTTTTCCAGCGAGCTTAATGGTAGGGTTCAAGGGCTACCTTTATCTAGCTATATAGGCTGTCTGCATCCATGACTCTAAGATGGGATTTCCCGTTCCTGAAGGCAATATCAGACAGTTGCTTTGCTTCTTGCTGTACTGCTTTCTTTTTTCTTTTAATATGTTCTGCTTTTTCATCTTAGGTGAATCATTTATCAAAGAGACATCCAGACATGAAAATAGAAGAGGTGCCGGAGCTAACCCTGCCTATCATCAAGCCCAACAGAGATTATTTCTGTCAGTACTGTGATAAGGTATGAAATGAACCTACCTATATTCCTCATTGCATGTGTGGCATCAGATTTTATATCCATGTGTGAATATGCAACCAGTCTTGTAAGTCTCCACCCCCCACTTCAGAGTCAGTTTTTTCTCTCTCTAAGAGAACCGACAAAATATGTTTCTGTCAATCTAGCAGATTTAATGAAAAACTTTTGAAGACTAGAAATCTGAGCCTGAGTTGAAAGCAGAAACCCTACTACAAGAAATGCAAGAAGTATTTTTCTTAGAAGTCCTTCCAGGTATTTTACAAACGGGAAGGTCAAATATGTGGAGACTTTGGGTGATTTGACTTGCCTTGGCAACATGGTGCAAGCTAGTTGTCTCCTTTGTTATTTCCCATACAGGATCTGTAAAACTGGCATAACCAAAAAAATTAAAATCAAATCCCTTTGCTGCTAAAGTAGATGCAGATTAACCAGTAATGTGCTCACACTGTAGAGGCATGTGTCTGTTACCAAGGAGGTTCCAGGTAATAGAAAATGAGCAGCACTTTTTACTTAGTATAATGTTCCTTATGTGTAGTTCTGTGGTGTTGTGGATTTGATTCATGCCACACCTAAGATGAAAAAGACACCAGCCACTGTCCTTCTCATAAATTCTAAGAGAAAAGTCCTGTTCCACAGATACTGCTGCATATATAAACCAGAGCATGGAAATTTTATTTTGTTTAATTTTTTTGGATTCCAGCCCCTGAGACTCCCCACCCAGCATGGTCTGTAGTAACTTTGGTTGTGAAATTCTGAGAATTGAAGGCCAAAAAGTAGTATTTCCAAGTTCTGATTGATACTCTAGGTGGATACTCTAGTGTGTCAAATAATGTTCTATTCTAATCACAACCTCGATGTCAAAAAATGGTGGCTAATTCTTTAGCGTGCTAAGGGATGAAACAAGTATAAAATTTGTCTGATGGCCAGCCCATGTTCATTCAAGCAGGATACCGACATATGGATTTTTGTAGTGACATGGTGTACATGGACCAAAGATCCAGGTAGTCACTTATTCTTCTAGCTCCCTTGGCATTCCTTTAGACATTTAATTCTCAAAAGTTTTATGTGAGAATGGTAAGAAAACAATCCTTGTATTATTGACGTACCCTTTAAATGCTGAGCAAAGCATTCCTGTTTTCAATGCAATGGATTTGTTCATGGTCTAAATCTTCACTCCACAGGTTTATAAGAGTGCCAGCAAACGCAAAGCCCATATTCTGAAAAATCACCCAGGTGCAGAACTCCCACCAAGTATTCGGAAGCTACGACCAGCAGGCCCAGGAGAACCAGATCCTATGCTAAGTACACACACACAACTGACTGGAACCATAGCGACACCTCCTGTTTGCTGTCCTCACTGTTCCAAGCAGTATAGCAGTAAGGTACTTGGGGCTTCTCACTTATTTCCTGTTATTAGTCTTTCTTACGGAAAATTTTAGCTGCAGCGATTCATAATCTATAAATCCACAATGTCCATTCTTACGTGTCATCAAGCATCAGAGATACCTAAGCTAACCTGACTCTTTAAACTGATGATCTGAAAGACCAGAAGCCATGTTGTTATGGCCATCAAGTTCTGTTCTTGATTTTGCTCTTGCTTATGATGCTGGGGAAGCCGTTTTACCCGCTACTGCTTTGTTCTCATGGGAGAATATTCTGCTCTCCACCTGAGACTGGCATCTTCAAAGGGCAGTCCACATGGCCCTTCCTGGGCAGATCATGCATCCAAGCATTCCAGGAACATTAGATACAATTGATTGTAGCCCATAGCTAACAAAATGGTTCTCAGCCTTGGGTCCCCCCCCCCAGATGTTCTTGAACTAAAACTCCCAGAAGCCTTCTCCACTAGCTGTACTGGCCAGGATTTTTCGGGAGTTGTACTCTGACAACATCTGGGGACCCAAGACTGGGACGCACAGGTTTAAATTGGAAAGCTGATACTTCGACAACATCTGGGGACCCAAGACTGGGAAGCACAGGTTTAAATTGGAAAGCTGATACTTTAGTCGTTCTGTAACTCCTGCTCTTTCCACCCTTCCATAGACCAAGATGGTGCAACATATTCGCAAGAAGCACCCCGAGTTTGCTCAAATGCCAACTAACACAATACACGTGCCCTTGGCGACTGCGGTCATTAGCACTGCCCCTGCAGTTTTAACTGCTGACAACACTTCCGGAGAGACTGTTGTGGTAAGAACACATGGATGCACACTCAGATTATCTGATAGAAAGGTGTTATGAACACATACCTAAGGAGCAGCCATGGTTTGTTCTGAATATGGAACAATTGAAAATACCACTGCGCTGTTTAATGTGAGAAGTGGTTCCTTAATAGGAAAGCATCCGAAAACTTCCCTGCCTTAGGAACTGACTTTTGTCTCTTCCACAATTCTTTACTGGGCCCTTTTCAACAACAACAACAGAGCCGCCACCACCACCACATTTGAACTGCAGGAGCTGGGAGGGATCTTATGGATCATTGAGACCACCACCACCACATTTGCACTGCAGGAGCTGGGATGGATCTTATGGATCATTGAGTCCGGCCCCTTTCAAAGAGGCTCGGTGGGAAACTGAACCCCCAAACTCTGGCTCTACAGCCAGATACCTAAACCACTGAGCTATCTGCTCTGCTTTTGGAAGACTACCCTCTAGATATTCTGATGGGTAGATAGATGATGGGTAGTGAATGGTCTGGTGGGTCTCACCTTCAGGCTAGAGGAGACGGCTGAATAACTGCTCATTTGCCTATTCAGTTCTCTGTTTCTGTGGCCCACCATCATTTTAAAGGCGTAACTAGATGCCTCTGCTTCTCTTTGCTTTTCTTCAGACAACAGACTTACTGACACAAGCAATGACGGAACTGTCACAGACTCTGACGACAGACTACCGAACCCCGCAGGGTGAATTTCAGCGAATCCAGTACATCCCCGTGTCCCAGTCCACTGGTGGCTTGCAACAGCCTCAGCACATCCAGCTGCAAGTAGTTCAGGTGGCTCAGGTGAGTGCTGTGTGATTTGCTTTTGTGCCGTGGTAGAGACTAGAGATGGGCATGAACCGCTGGTTCGGAGACTAGACATGGGCATGAACTGCTGGTTCGGCACAGTTTGTTGTGGCTGAACTGATGACCCATAGTTTGGTGCCCCAACATCCTCCGGTGCCTCCAAGGGGACACCCACTGGAGGGCTGGGGCACTGAACTTTGGATCTGCAGTTTGGCCTAGAAATGAACCACAATGAACTGCGCTGAACCGGTGGTTTGGGCCCATCTCTAGTAGACACCACAAATGTGCCAATGCCTCATACACATTTAATTTAAAAAATAATAGTCACATGAAGATACCTTTTTAAAAAATGATGCACAACTACAGTCATGCCCCGCTGGACGATTACCCCGCTCTATGACGAATCCGCTTTACGTTGATGTCTTTGTGATCATTTTTGCGATTACAAAATGATGTTTTAAATGGGGTTTTTTCGCTGTGCGATGATCGGTTCCCTGCTTCAGGAACCGATTTTCGCTTTACGATGATCAGCAAACAGCTGATCGTCGGGTAATGCACAACTACAGTCGTGCCCCGCTAGACGATTACCCCGCTCTATGACGAATCCGCTTTACGTTGATGTCTTTGTGATCATTTTTGCGATTACAAAATGATGTTTTAAATGGGGTTTTTTCGCTGTGCGATGATCGGTTCCCTGCTTCAGGAACCGATTTTCGCTTTACGATGATCAGCAAACAGCTGATCGTCGGGTTTCAAAATGGCCGCCGGCTGAAGAAAGTGGGCCCCCGCTGTTTTCTAGGACGGATTCCTCGCTTTACAGGCGCCGAAAATGGCCGCCGTATGGAAGATCTTCACTGGACGAGCAGGTATTCAGCCCATTGCAACGCATTGAACAGTTTTCAATGCGTTTCAATGGTTTTTTAAATTTCGTTTGACGACGTTTTCGCTCTACAGCAATTTCGCTGGAATGAATTAACGTCGTCAAGCAAGGCACCACTGTATTGTCATCATAGTGTGTTTTTCGGTGAGTTTGTCTGACAGATGATAGCCATGTCAGGTAATGGCAGATTTCTATTATCAAATGGATGTGTAGAATTATCCTGCCATTAATATTCTAGATAGAGAAAGAGGGCCACCAAGAGGGTGGCAAAATGTACCGGTCGCTGACTGATGCTGTGCAATGGATACAGAATTGGATTTGGATCCAGTTCTATTCCCAGCTGTGAAACTTGCCATGTGATTTTGAAGCTGTCCTGTTTCATGCTTTTGTAGGGAAAATGCTGGGGGGATTGCCACATGCTGTCATTGAACTGCTTGGAGAAGGGATGGAAAATAAATTACATTAATTAGGTTACTTTAATGTCGAGAGTAGGCATTTGATATAGTCCCTTTTCAAAAGACAGATCTTATCTCTAGTTTGGGGGGAATTTCCCACAAAACAGGGGGGGTGGAAAGTCTGTGCGTCTTATGGAGCGAAGAAAACAGATTATATTTTCCTGTTTTCTTCTCCTAAAAAATGGTGCGTCTTATGGAAAGGTGCGTCTTATGGAGCGAAAAATACGGTAAGTTCACAGTAAAAGCTAAACCCTCAGGGTAGGGAACCAGTAAGAAAAAGTCATCTCACAGGGTTGGCGTTAGGGTTCAATGAAAGGAGTATATTTTTTAGCCTGTGGTGAACCTTTCATGTATGGACCCAAGATGAATTCTCTCACATACTGATTTGAGATTTCTGTTCTTCTAAATTATATTTATATTGTACAAATATAATATAAACATATCACTATAAATAGAAGCATTTGTCTTGTGTAAAAATAAATAGATTTCACTATGCAGGGCAAACTGTTTTTGCAAGCATATAAATTTAACTGTCCTTAACTAGCTGAACAGTGTCACCGTTCTGTCAGTCTGAGCAACGATTGAGGCCATACTTTTTCAATCTTCCATTTCCTATGTGAGTATTTCTTGGTTAAATTGCTTAAATTAATTAGCCTCTGGTTAGCAAGTAAGATTTTAGAAATGTGTTCCATTCCCCTGTATGAGATTATACACTTAATCATGGTGCTCACACATCCATTCTTGAATACATGAATACATTGAGGTAATTACTTTCTGCAGTTTATCAGTGCCCTGCTCGACTGAAGTGGGGGGTTTCTTTGTTTTTTTTTCCCCTTTTGTAGATGTGTTTACTAATCAGCAGCCATCCCTTGATGTTCCAAAGATACCTCATTATCACATCATGTCAGTCCACAGAGGTGCTATCCAAGCTGCTAAACTTGTCTGTTAGCATATGGGAGGAATGTGGCTGCTACATTCCCAGGGCTTGCTCACCCTCTGTTTCTGGGAAATCATATGAATGTAGGGCTGATGTGACCTTTTGGGATTTCCCCACCTTCTTCTCCCTTGTTCCCACTGAGAAAAATGCTCACATACAGGTTCAGTTTTCAACTGTTCCTTCTTTATTAATGGTGACTGCTTTTTTTTCATCCATGAAGTCTACCGGTTCTTCCTCAGAACTGGTTTTTCAACACATTTCCCCATCCCTTCTCTAGATGGTTTTAACTCAGCTTCTAAATATAACAGGTCTCCCATAAGCTATTTTCTTCCTGCTCATGAACAGAGGTGGATGTGTCCTCTAACAAAGAAACAGGTCTTAAGGGTAATATACCTACTCTCCACTGGGAATCCATACTCTCTTTCCTGGGGTCTATTGGGATCTTGGGGGGGGAATCTTTCTTTGTCCAGGAGGTACCCCAGAGGAGTCCTCCATCTTCCTCTTTTATCTCCTCTTCCTTTCCCACCAACTCTAACCCCTCTTGTTCATTTCCTGGTTCTTTTCTGATTTCTGCATCTCCAGTCTTATCCCCAGTTAACTCCTTCTTGTCCGTATCAGCTGAATGATGGGGCAGCTCTGTTTCTGTCTTTCTTGGCAGGAGAGGGGACAACTCACCGACAGGGGGAGTCCTCTCCCTGCCCTCTTGTTCACAGCTGGTCTTACCTTAGAAAATAAGCGATTAAGGGGAGACATAATGGCGATGTATGAAGTTATACATAGTGTTGGAGAAAGCAGAAAGGAAGAGATTTCATGCCTCTCATAATACAAACATTCAGAGTCATTGAGAGAATTGGAATGGTGGGAGGAAGTGCATGTCCGGCAAAAGGAAGGACCACTTCACACAACAGGTGGAATGGACTGCTATTAAGATGTAGTGATGGCTGCCAAGTTGGATGACTTTAAAAGGGGACTAAAAGAATCAAATGTCAATGGCTATATATCATCACCAATATCAGGGGCAACATGCTTCTGTATGCATCACTTGCTGATGAGTGCGAGACAGTGAGTTCCCCATCAGCGACCAGTCAGCCACTAAGTGAACAAAAGATGCTTATTTGTTTGTTTGTTTAATTTCATAATAAACAAAAGACACAGAAAACTACACATCAAATAATACTTGATCACAAAAACATAAGTGACAAATACAATCATAACTCAAATATAGAGAGTAACTCATCACCTTTTGGAATATATATTTTATACAGTATATATCTTCATCAATACATTTATCTTAATTTATATCATGTACCCTGTATCTTTCCAAAATTACAGTGGTTCTTGTGTTGAGGTATAACCTTTGTGTTTAGTAAATACATGTTCTAAAAGAGACCATTGGTAATGGTGCGGCTAAAAAAAACCCCTTGTAAATAAATAAATAAATGTTGAGTAAAGTCACCGGCCCCTCTGGTTTACAGGACATTGTTGTACTCTAAAAAAAAATCCATATCCTTTTAAAACTCTTTTTTTATATAACCCTTTTCTAACTTTCAACTCACAAGTTAATTTATCACAAAATATTTGATTAGGAAGGCCTTTGTTCCAATCCAGGATGGCTCTTCTTGTGTTCTTACTTTTAGGCAGGATGAGATGGCCTGTGTTAGCTGGTGGATTTTTGGGGCACTAATAAAGGCCAGCCGAAATCCATATCCTTTTAAAACTCTTTTTTTATATAACCCTTTTCTAACTTTCAACTCACAAGTTAATTTATCACAAAATATTTGATTAGGAAGGCCTTTGTTCCAATCCAGGATGGCTCTTCTTGTGTTCTTACTTTTAGGCAGGATGAGATGGCCTGTGTTAGCTGGTGGATTTTTGGGGCACTAATAAAGGCCAGCCGGTTTTCCATTATTTTATGAACTAATGAGATGTATTTGAGTATTTTGCCTGTGCAACCAAACGTCTTGGTCTGTTTGTGAGACATTCAAACCACTATGAACCATAAATATCTCAAATGATTGGTTAAAGCATTATCAGCTTTAAGTACCAGCATCTTTCCAAGGAGTCAGGCAGAGGATTTGGGCAGCTTGGCTAGCTCAAATCCTTTCAGCAAGAGATGCTGAAGGTACATGGCAATGCCAGGGAGTAAATCTAAGAGCTTCTGCATGCTGAAATGTGCTCTCATGTTGAGGTGTGGCCCTCCCTGTCCAGCGGAATACTGGGATGCTTCGTAGCAGCCCTTTTGTTCCATCCTTGCCAGCTACCCAGCATGAAGGGACTGGTTTAGATAGGAGAACCATACTAGTCCAAATAATGTACTGCCTATGATAATAACTTTTGGCTTTTTGGTGCCAGGCAAAGACCTTTCTGTTTAGCCAGCATTTTAATTAAATAGTATCCTTAGCTGGCCGTATGAACAGCAGGATTTATTAATGATAAATTAACTGTTTTAATATTGGGTGTTAATATCAGATATTATTTTAATGTTGTTCTAAAGTTTCAGTATTGCTATGCTGGTCATGGTGCGGCTAAAAAAAAAACCCATGTAAATAAATAAATAAATGTTGAGTGAAGTCACCAGCCCCTCTGGTTTACAGGACATTGTTGTACTTCCTTGTTTACAGGATGGAAATGTATTCTGTATTTTTTTTTCCTTCCAGGCTACCTCACCTCACCAGTCCCAGCATTCCACAGTAGACGTTGGGCAACTGCATGACCCTCAGACCTACGCCCAGCATGCCATCCAAGTGCAGCACATCCAGGTCACGGAACCCACACCTGCCACTGCCTCCTCCTCACAGGTTGTCTCTTGTATCCTTTTCACTCATTATTTTAAGACCGGCACACAAACCCTAAGGCTTTGGATAAAGTTGTCCCTAATGCTTCCATTGAAATTACGCAGCATGTTGGGCACAGAATATATCCACTTTTAACCTTTTGGGGATGATGCAATACCGTGGACTGTGTTTTATCATGGGCGGCATTCTACAGACAGCACATTAAAATGGATCTAGGAAGGCTGAGTTCAAATGCTTGCTTAGCCGGAAACGCATCAGCCAAATTCAGAACCAGGACTGAGGTGACAAATTCCTGCCACAAAGACACTATAATTTATTGGGGTGGGTTTAGATATACGGACACTTAAATATTAAATTGAACAAACCATGGCTTAGCATTACAAACCATGATTTGGCATCGTGTTCCAACATGAGCATTTGGGGCTTTCCATCACTTCTCAATATTGTGAGAAAATATGAGAAAAATCTACAAAGTACTGGATAGCTGCTTTCTGCTTCATATTGCAAACAAGTATGGCAATCACTGATGCAACTAGAAAGACTTATGCCCGAGTTCGCTGTTTAGCCTTCTCTCCATTCTTATCCCCTTTGCCTTTGGCGTCATGCTTTTAAAAAAATTATACATCTGAGATCAAGGCCCGTCTGATTTTTATTGTTTGAATGTGAGCTGTGCGAGGAGCTTTGGATATAAGCTGCCTTAAGGAGAAAGATGAGGTAAACCTATTTTATACAAACGAACAAGGTGGGGTAAAAATATTTTAAACAAACATAAAGGCCCTTTCAGATGGACAGCAGAATATCACACACCATCTTTGCGTTTTATCCATATTATGCAAGCAGCTTATTATTGGTGGTGGTATTTCATTACTGAAAGGATCAGCAGGGACCTGGGAAGCTTCCAAATGGGCATTGCAGGGGTTTAGTCTGATGTTCCTGGAAGAGATATGCTGAGTCTGCCATTCCTTTGTGTGATTCTAGGTGGGAAGTCAGCCCTTGAGTCCTTCAAGCCAACCCTCTCAGCAGGAACTCAGTCCTTCCCAGATGCAGACAGCCGCCTCGTCACAAAGCCAATCTCAGCCAGGCACCTCAGTCCAGCAAACGTATCTCCCCAGCACGTGGAACTCATTCCGCAGCTATTGTATGTATCACAGATACTCAGCTAAGCCACGGTTTACGTTCCAAAGCATTCAGAAATTGCTGGTGCGTCATTCACAAGGTCCAAGGCAGGGCTTAGTACAATGGTTTTCAAGCCTTTTGAAGAGAAACAATGGGTGTAAGATTTCTTCTTACTGTATCCAAGCTTTCTTTGTCCCTAGCTTTTGAACCGCAAGCCTTTCATTTTCTGCCATCTCAGCCAGCAGGGCAGCTTCCCAGTTTTAATTGCACTGTCTTTCAAGTAGAGTGTAGTTTACATTAAGTGATGCTTTTCTTAGCAGCACCCAAGGGAAGAGGATCATATTTCATATAGCCTTATAGACATTTATGCCCTAATCTAACATTTTTTTTTGCACATTCATAGAAAGAAAATATTTATCTGAGATGGCTTTTGGGTGAATCATTGACCATTTAAATACTTTCCGGGTTCCCCCGGGCCTGTTTAATGCCTGAAATAGAGTTTTCAAAATAAAAGAAAAGGAAGTTGTCAACCAGTTACTTCCTGTTTCTTGAAAAGGGTATTTTTTACTTTTAAAAGCCTACCCTACCCCTACCCCTTCTGCTACCTGTAAGTACCTATTCACCTCTTCCCAGAAGCCTATGGGGTGCCTATGAGCTTTTTCATACCACTTCGTTCCAACCTGGGGGTTTGTGGATGTATAGATGTGGGCTGCCATGGTCAAGAGCAAACATTGCCCTTAGGACCTGGCAAAGTCCCCACCCTTGGCCTTGTAGGTTGGGATATTTGCTACTCACATGGAGGTGTGTAAAAGCAGAGCCTGTTCCAGTAACAACAACAGTTTTAAGTAACAACTTAACATGCTATAAATGTGCATTTCATTAGGTTGTACTTAATTCTGAGACCACCCTAATCCCTCTCCCTGTTGATGATTGACTGCATTTCTTCCTTTTTGCAATCTTGTTTCCTAGCCTCTGACATTCAGATGGTGACCATCCCACAGGGGCAGTACGTGATTGCAGAGACCGCGGTCGGCACACCTGTCACTACAGTGAACACAGGGCAAGTGAAAGCCGTCGCTCCGGTAAGAGGAAGGGTGGCAGACCCAGGCTACTGAAGCGATAATAATAATCTTAGAACTGCAGAGTTGGAAGGGACTCTATGGATCATCGAGTCCAGCCCATTAAGGAGGCACAGCGAGGAATCAAACTGCCAACCTCTGGCTCCAAAGCCAGAGCTTAAACCATAATAGGTGGAAAGAGATGGGGGAGACATTCTGCCTATCCTTCAGACAAGTACTTAGCAATATCATCTTTCCAAATACACATTTGCTGTCCCCAATATAGGAAAATAAGACAAAAAAGGTGGGACTCAGCAGGAGAGAGTAAACCCATACTCACTGGCTTTCTACCATACAGGCCCAAGGCCATTGCTTTCCCCAGTAAGCTTACTTCTATTGATTAACTATGGCTTGCCCACAAGGTGGAGGGTGGATTTGCAAGGGAGATTGGACCAGCAGGGAAAAGGTTAAGTTTTCCCCCCCACTCCTGCTGAATCTGCCCCATGAAAACAGTGACTTGGAAATAAAGAGGTTGGTTGGTCTTCTTGGTATAAGATTTCCTAGACTTTTCGATAAATTTCTTCCTCCCACACCCAGAAATCCTATTTGCCTATGAAAAAAAGCATCAAAAGGGCAGTTTGATTCCCACTACCCACTTGATAAGTTGGGCAGCAGTTAAAATGGACAGGATTCTAGAGAGCAGTGTGTGAAGTTGTGAACTGGAATCCACAAAAGCTCACAGTGATATAAATCTGTTGGCCTTAAAGGTGCCACAGAATTTTTTTTTTGTTTTTTGTGCCCTGTGCCTAGGCAGACTACTGAAGCTCTCCACCTTGGCACAACCATTTCCACGTGTAAATTGAAAAGACAATACCGTGTTTCCCTGAAAATAAGACAGGGTCTTATATTAATTTTTGCTCCAAAAATGCATTAGGCTTATTTTCAGGTTGGTTTTTTTTTTCATGTACAACAATCTATATTTATAAAAATACAGTCATGTCATCTTCTGGATACTGCACAATGAGTCCCTGGTGGAGGGTGGAGTTTCACTTAAGTTTGGCTTATTTTTGGGATAGGGCTTATATTACGAGCATCCTGAAAAATCAGACTAGGGCTTATTTTCAGGTTAGGTCTTATTTTCGAGGAAACAGGGTAGTTGTAGGGTTTATCAAAGGAATGCGCTTACGTTATCATTTTTGCTTCCATTGAATTAATCATAGTTTTCCCTCTGTGATGATGTGAATATGATGTTCGAGGGGGGGAGAGGAATTGACGATATATACTGTATATAAAAAACTGAAAACCAGCAGCTTATGTGGGTTTCTTTTTTCTTCCAGACGCACTATGTCATAGCTGAAAGTCAATCTGAACTGGATGTCAAGCCAAACCTCTCTCTTTCCAGTGCTGTTGAAGTAGATTTGTCCCAACCTCCATCACATTCTGACTCCCTAGAATCACAGGCATCCAGCCAGCCCCAAACAACGCAATACATCATTACGACAACGGCCAATGGCAACGGAAGCAGCGAGGTGCACATGGAAAAGCCATGAACTCCCTTTGTGGCAGCGAAAGGAGGAAATCTATTTGGACCAGCTGACTGTTCAGGTCATAATTTCCAAAATACCAGGGCACCAAGAGCTGCTTTGAAAAGTTCACTGGCATAACTTGAGCGCCGATCCTTTGCAAATTTGTTAGTCTGAATGATACTTGAAGAAGACACTTTGAGGATGCCACCACCTGCTGGAGCCTGTGAACAAAGTCTGATAAAAAAAAGAATGGAAATGAATCTTCTTCTGGATGCCCTCCTCTGCCTGCTTCTCCAGGGAGAGCCTTGTTTTTCCCAGTTGCAGAAAGATTTTCAACAATGAAGGAAAAGGTTTTCCAAATTTCCACCTGGTGACAGAATATAGCTCATGCACATTTCCAGTACATACACTTTTAAAAGTCTGCCTCGGTAGCTAGTTACATTTCAGTTGACATTATTTGTAAGTTGCTATGGAAGGAAGGGAATGTACCAGATTTGGGGAGAAGAAAAGGAAAAGCCAGTTGCAAGGAAAGAATGAGCAAATGGCGGACTTACTTCCCCCAGTGCGTGGGACAGGCAGAAAAGCGAAACTGTGAAGCTATGTAGAAGCAATTAAATTATTGGGTTTTTTTCTTTTGTTCGTTTTTTAAACCTTGTGAACTGTTTACATGCCATCTGCATCACCCCAATTGATACTCAATTCTGGAGAGCATGAGGGAAGCAGTCATGGGGGGGGGGACTCCCGCCCTCAAACTGGAATCAGAGAAGCATATAAAGGTGATGCTGAGTTTCACCCTTCCTCTTTCCATGCCCCCTCAGTACGAAAGGGATGATTTCTTTTTTCCTGGAAAACCAATAATAATAATAAAAAAAAGCTCAGTGATGTTTTGAAGCCTGTGGTGGCGTTTGCTTGTTCCTGGCTGACGTCTCAGGAGGAAATCGATGGCCTGTGAAGCTGAGGTGAGATTTTTATTGAAAGGAAGAGGGCCTTTGCAGAGCCATACAGGTGCTGCTGGAGCGAGACCTTGTGCTTCCTCTCAGGAGGAAATCTGTGAAGCTGAGGTGTGATTTTTATTGAAAGGAAGGGCCGTTGCAAAGCCATAGAGGTGCTGCTGGAGCGAGACCTTGTGCTTCACAGTATTGGCAAAGAAATTGCCGACTTTCCTCCTCTGCCTCTTCAGAGAGGGTGGGTGGCCGGTGCTGTCTTAAAACCTATTTATTTCACTTGCCCCCACGGCCCAAAGAGAGCCTTTCCACTTAGAAGGTGGATGGGAAAGCTGCTGCTAATTCTTGTGAGCTGTTTCATGCAACGAAGGGCCCTTTGCATTCGGCAAGAGGCACTTACAGAAATGGCAAATCACTATTTATGTCCCTTCAGGCCCAGCCCACATGGCCAAGAGTCACAGGATCTGGACCCTTCAAGGGAACGGCATGTTTATGGCAGGGAGAGGCTCTTTTTCCCTTACACTTTGGACCTGATCTGAGCCAGGCTCACTCGGGAGCACGCTTCCCTGACCTTCATGCAGCTTACTTCCTGGAAGGAAAACCTGGGAGGGGAAAATGTCTCCTTGTGAACTACAACTCCCAGAATCCTCCCGCCAGCACATGACGGAAGAGGATTCTGGGAGTTGTGGTCCACAATATGGATTCTCTCCTCCCTCTTCCGCCAATAAGCGTGTATTTAGGAGGGCAGCCGCGAGAGAAGGCTAGGGAACCCTTTGCCGTCAATGCCGGCAGAGAGAAATGAAGGGGCGGGAGAAAGAAAAGAACATTTTGCCTTTAAGAAATAGAAGCTTCCCGACAAAACGCCAAGGCGGGCCACGGCCTGCCCGGCTTCAGGCTGGCAGGAGAGTGCGCATGCGCGAGCCATCCACCATAGGGAGGCGCCGCTGGCCTCGTCTCGCGAGGGCGCTTAGGAGAGGGAAGAGGGGCCGGCCGGCCTGCCCTCGCGCATGCGCCTTCCTGCTTGGGGGCTCCCCTCCGGCCTCCCCATCTATGACTTCTTTCCCTCGACCTGGAAGCGGAATGCCGGCGCCGGGAAGGGGAAGCGCAGGAGGGGACGGCGCCGGGGCCGAGCCAGCAAAGGGGGCACCCTCGGTCGCTCGCTC